GCTCAACACTACAATAATCGAGTAGAGAGCCTAGATCATTTTGGACTTTGCACAACATCTAACTCCAAGGTCATGCTTCTCCACAGTGTTAGGGATGGCAATGGGTAGGGTATGGGTAGGGTACTATAGTACCCATCCCCATACCCGCATTTTAAAAAAATACCCGTACCCAGCCCCATACCCGCATGGGTATGAACATTAATCCCCGTACCCGTACCCTCTGGGTACCCGCATACCCGTCTTGTACCCATTACCCGCGCTTGTTTGAGAAAAAAATATTTATAAAGAAAAATATGTTTATATAATTTCACATAAGTAGCATAATAATACAAAAATTCAATATGTAGTTGTCGAACAAGGTACAAATATAGATAAAAAAACAAATATTCAAAGATCATAAATGTTAAATGTATCTTAATATAATAATTTTCTAAATTAAAATGCTTAGAAATAATAAGCAAAATTAAACACACAAGTTATTTGTCAGTGATAATCCTATCTTGTGTGAGATTTGATTGATTAGTAATGTCAGAACGATAACGAAATAGATCTGTACAATGGTTGTCCCTTCGTGTGGGATCACTTAGTAACCTCTTGTGACGGCATTAACAACTAACTCTCATGAATAACATTTCATAGTTATTAAGTTTTAGTGAGACAGACATTGAGAATGAGAATAGAGTTAGAGTAGAGAAGTTCAATACTAACAATAGAAAATTGATACATAAAATATTTTTTTTAACTTTTGAATTTCAAATTGTAAGAAAAATAATAGATTTAATTAAAATAATATAATATAATTAATATATATATATATATATATATATATTAATACTAGTATTTTTTAACTCATATACTATACGAAAGTATTTTATAAAAAATATAAATTTTTAAAAAATTATTTTAGTGAATTAAATATTTCTAATGTATATAAATTTTAAAAAAAAAGAATTTGAATAAAAGATAAATAGTTACAATAAAATTTTATAATAAAGAAATATACGTGTATATTAAAAAAATTATACTTTTTTATCTTAAAAAAATTAACAAATAAAAATTAACAATAATTTTTTATATTCATATCTTTTCAAAAACTTCTTTGAATGTGAATAAATAGTAAGAATAATATTATTTAGATTCAATAAATTATAGTTGTACTTGTAATACATATGTTGTATAGAAAAATATTATTTTAAATTAAAATATAAAAATAAAATTTAAATATTATTAATAAATAATTAGTTTACGGTAATAATAGGTGATTGTAAAATTTATAAAATATTTATAATATATTTATTATTTATCATTCACTTTATGATTAAAACATCAATATGATTTTATTAACAAAAATATTTGTGTAAAAAATATTTTATGTGTGTCATATATAAATAATATTTTAAAAAAAGTCAATCTCATATTAACTATGTAATAATTAAATTGTGTTAGCCAAATTAAATGATATAAAATAGTAAATAAATTTTTCTATTAAAAATATAAACCAAAATAAATTTTTTGGTTTACTTTATTATTAAATATATTTTTATATTAATCTTATATAACTTCACATAAGTAATATAATAATACAAAAATTCAATTCATAATTGTATAATAAAGTTCAAGCATATATATATATATATATATATATATATATATGCGGGTATGGGGAGGGGTGGGTACTTAGATACCCATACCCGCACCCATCTCCATTAAAATTTGCGGGTTTTTACCCATACCCATACCCGTACCCATATAGCGGGTAAATACCCTACCCATTGTGGGTAAATTTTGCGGGTGCCCATCGGGTACTTTACCCATTGCCTTCCCTACATGGTGTATAACCCATTCCATATCTAAAAAATTAATTTTCACATGGGTAACTATATTAAGCATAGTAAAGATTCCTTAAATAATGCAAATCTCACAGTTACAGTATCAAAAAAAGATAATCTAAGTAAATCATTGGAAGATAATCTGTACTAATGTCTTGCCTTGATTCATAAAATAGTAAAGATTCTCTAAATAATGCAAATTCCACAATTACAACATCAAAAAAAGATAATTCAAGTAAATCGTTGAAAGACAATTTGTAGCACCTTACCTTTTGTTAGAGTATGCATAATACAAATATCATAAGAATTTAAACACTAATCATTAATTATTTTTTAATGCTAATAATAATAATTTCTAATCATATATAATTAAAAACAAAAAATTATTCAATTTTTATTATTATCTATCACGGTAATGTGTATCTTACATGTAAGTGTTTGTAAATAAATTATTTTAAAACCTAATTAAATAAATAATTTAAGGATATTTAGTCTTTTAAAATAATTAGTTTTTTTTGTTATTTTAAATTCTGATTTGACATTCATTTGCCGTAATTTAATTCGGTAAATTTTTCTAGACACTTTCTAAACATGTTATTTATTTATAATCATTTTAATTTTTTTTTTCTCATTTTAAAAATTTTTAGGATGAAAAAATTTTATTTTTTTATTTATTCATTATTTATAAAAATCAATTATTACTCAGTTCCATAATTTTCACTAAGTTTTATATGAATGCTATAAACTTTTGTAATATTTTTATGTATTATTTTATTTATTTAGTTGTTTTTAATTTATTTTTATTTTATTATTTCAACATTATTTTCAATCAAATCATCATAATTAACTATAATTAAATGATTAATTATATAATTAATTTTATGGAAAAGTTTTGAACATCCCATGTTTACTTGTCTTAATTAATAAACATATTCAAAATTTAAATTCCAAGTAAAATCATCAATAAACATTCAATTAAATGGTTACTAGTGTTTACTTGTCTTAATCAACTTGTCATGCTTTTTCTATGCCAAGTTTCTTAATTTTTCTTTATTTTTTAATAAAACTTTTGTGCTCCATGGTTGCTTTATGGTCCTAATATTTCTAAACTTTTAATTCTTTGAATTTAGCATTAAAAAATTCAAACAAAAATATCAATAAATTCTAAAATATCATGTCCACTAATTTATGATTTTTTTCTTCAATTTAGCAATTTGAAAAGAAAACTTGAATTTCGATAGAAACACTTCAATCTCACATTTATGTGTGATTATAATACAAGTTTAAAGCATATTATCCATTGAACATGAAATTTAAAGCACCAAGAATCATATGCATGTATTAAATATATCAAAAATATTAAAAATCTTTAAAATAATAACATGAGCATATAGAACTTAGTTGTTGAGGTTTAGGATCTCTTAAGTTGAATCTATACAACTCTTAGCGGTTAAGAGCTTATACATTCAAGAAAATCTAAAAGTTAGCACACATCTCTCTATGAAAGGGAATTCATTCTCTACATTTGTTTTTTCCCTGAAGTTCTTAGTATTTTCTTGAATTTTTCTGCTCATTTCTCCCTTTCAAATTCTTAGAGACACTATATGAATTTTATGTTCAAAGTTTGTTAATGTTCTCTTTTACTTGGTTTGGTTGAACTTTTAAATTACTTTGATTGAATTTGGACATGTAATTGCTACTCTTTTCCTGTTCAATTGTTTGTTTTATGACTCATGTTTTAGTTTATAATATGTTGGTCTTATATTTTAAAATTTTGACAAATCAATAAATTTTAGTTAAGTTTTCTACTATTTTGTTCCACCAATTAAACTAAGTTCTTAGGCTTAGTTGCAATTGACCAACTCATGGTGATTTAGTCCAAGGTCTCAAACATTTAAGAAACCATAGAATTTTGTAATACAAGTCTTTTGGCTAATCAAAATTATTTATAAAGTCAAAGAGGTTAAATTAGTCTTATTATAATTGTAAATTTTATTTCTAAAATTTTCTGACTTATAATTTTTTTTTCCAAAATATCAATTTCTTTTACATCGTTAAATTAATATAACTTATTTATGTGATAATATATGAAATATGATTAGTGTATTTGTTTCGATATCTAAATGAACAGAAAGTATGAAATATGTCACCTTGTAAAATTCATCTATATTTCGCATGTCTAGAGTCCAGAATCAGATAAAACAATTTTCAAATCACTAAACTGATTTACAAAAATAAAAAACTAATAAAATAAAAAATTGATCAAACTAAAAATTGAAAAAAAAAAATTAATATATTTTATATTACAGTTCGCTTCAATTTCAGTTCTCATTATTAAAATTAAACCAAATTTATATTATATTTTCATATAAAATTATTTTTTAGTTAATTTTATTATAACATTCTAAAAATATATATTGCGTCATTTCTATTTACTTTATATTCTTCTTAGTTTTCTCAATTGAATAATTTTTCTATCAATAATTTATTTTTTATAATTTTATTTTTTTAATAATAATTTATTTTCTCTATTTTTAATTTTTTTAACAAAATTATTTCAATTTTTGAGCTACTACTTATTTTTAATTAAAAATAAATTAAAATTCATATAATAATAAATAAAATTTAAAAAATAAAATAAGCCAATAATAAATAAAAAACAAAAAAATTAAGCCAAACTGAACTGATATTTTGCAATTTAATTTAAATTTTAAATTATATTCAAAGTGAAATAAACTAAATCGCATAAGTGCTGGTTTGTTATCTTTTTGAATAAAAACTAAAACAAATTGCGAATGCTCCTAGGGTTAGAGAATATATTGATAGCCTTTTTCATTTACGCTCTTATCAATTATTGTGTAAGCTTGCAATTTATATCCATCGAATGGGAGGTGATGACATCCGAGAAGATAATGAAGCTCCGGCGAAGCCTCTATAGCTAAATATTGACCTTACAAGACCCAAAAGATGAAAGATTATACTTCTTTAATTCTACTGTGATATGGTTATTCCCATTTTGCCTAAACAATAGTCTAATGTCTTCATGAACTACCGAAAAAGTTTGATGTATTTGTCAAACCAATTACTAACTTCACAGCTTCTTTCTTCAAGAGCTTTGTTGCTTTTGCCTTTCTACTTTTTTATTTTAATTTTTTTTTATTCTTTATGAAATGTAACTAACGAAGCAGTAACGGGTCTTTTTCACATTTTTGCATTTCTCTGTAAACAACAGTTTTTATTAGGTTTTACACTTGCCATAAAAAAAATTTGAAAATTTCTACCCATGCCGAAAGCAAAATACAACTATATATAAAAAAGATGGCTTAAGTTAATTCGTGATTAACAAGACACCAATGTCCTAATCGAAGCTAGAACTGAAACTCCAAGATTGAATCTTGTGTACTTCAACAAACAGTCCTGTGGAGCCGGAGAACCCAACGCTGACCCATTCTGGCAAAACGGTCCTCAAATCAATCACTTGGGAGAGGCTAACCATTGGTCCGTTCCTAATAACCACGCTTAAATTTTGTGTCAAGGGCTCATAGCTTACGGTGGCAAACACTGTTTCCAACCCAAGATTGTCATTTTGCCACTCAACTGTTTTTACCGAAGCAATGGAATTAACATCAATGCCTATGTGAAGATAGTCAGGGTCCCAATCATTTTGGTGCGTGTCAAATTCTACGGCAACTATTTGGTTTTGGTTTGTTTTTCTTAAAGCAGAATTGGGAGTGAAGAGTCCGAGATACCCACCGTCTGAATTTTGGGGTATGTGAGAGTGGAACGGTGCAATGAAGAAAGTTATTCCATCTCCAACATTTGGAGCATTCAATAAAACAAAAGAAAAGGTGGTAGTGAAACTCGCCATCTTTCGGGTTTTGGCATCCCAAAGTCGCACTGGCAGAGCATAGGCGGCTCTGCCACTACTGAAGGGCATGATAGAACCGTTTTGGACCCTTGTTAGTTGTATAGAACCGTGTGAGGCAAAGGCATCGCCTTGGAAGGTAATAATGGTGTTTGTGTATGGCCCTGAAAAGTTGGAGAATTCGAAAGATGTCTCGGAATTTTTATGCAGCATAAGGAATGGAATGAGCAACAAGAGAACCGGCTTTGTGTTGTACAAAGCCATGCCTTTAAATTTGCGATAAGATAGGGAAAATGACAGTGTTCCACTATATATAGAGTTTTCTGTAAATCGAGAAAATAAAATTTAAGAAGGTTTCGGTAGAGTTCATAAAAAGTTTCTTCGAGTTTAATTAACTAAATAGTTACAATGTTTTTGAGCTTATCGTTATTTTAAAATATTTATTACCACTGTTTTCTGAAATAATTTCTATATAAAATATTTTTTTATTAGTTGATCAATTAATAAGTGATAATATTTTAATAAAAATTCTTGAATAAAGAGTCACAATAAATATTTTAAAGTTACAATACAGAGTCCCAAAATTAGAGCCAAGGGGTGTTGAAGTAGCCAAATAACTCACATTGTTGACACCAGACAGGTGATTAAAACAATGTCGTTTTGACAATGGACATAATCGTATCAACAAATCCAATATTCGTGACGCCGCTTCCAGGGTTTTCAGGGCGCATTTAAGATGCCGAATAATATATTTCTAACTTACTTTGGTGGTGTCTACGGTCAGTTAGCTGACATAAGGACGTTTAAGCCATTAGATATATAGTAATAAATCGATCAACGGTTGATATTTATTATCGTGATATATTATTTTCAGTTGTGTTTAAATTTGTTAGTCTCTAAAATAAACTATAAAAATTAGGCAATAGCAATTTATCCTGTATTTGCGAGTGGGATACAAAGTGGGCAACCGCGGCACGATGGGACAATAAGTTGCCTTTTCGGCCTATGAGCATGTTGAGAATTTTGGTTACATTAATGACTTATCTCCAGTGAGACGAAGTTGTTTATAGTTTTTGCTGTTGTTTGTCTCACGACTCCTTCGTTCTTCTTGTCCATAATCATGGAGAAATTGTAGGCTAATTCACTTTATCCCATCCTTTTATTATTGTTAATGAAGGACATGAACATGCAACAAAATCATAGCAACAATATTAACAATAGGTAAGAATGAAAAGTGAGCAAAACACAACAAAACCACGAAAAAAGGTAAACTGAGCACTTACAGCAATGAGCAACACAGAAAGAAGAGGAGAAGAGAAGAGAGAATTAAAATTTAATCAATTGGTTTTAAGGGAATTCTAAGTGGGATAAAATTAAAGGTTATTCTCTTCGGTTAATAAAGGTAACCACAAGCAATGGTTGTAAAATTTTTGCACTTAAAAACCGCAGACAAAGAATAACTATTCCCTATGGTCCTTTACTCCTGACCGCAAGAATTATCTTGCACTTTATTTTTTTGCGGTTCTTTCTTCATAATCAAAAAGTTGAAATTTCCGTTCCTTTTTAGTTTCACTTAATCAACATACACACACGTCTCTCTCTCTCTATATATATATATATATATATATATATATATATATATATATATATATATTTAGTTAACATCAAATACTTATATTTTTAAAATATATCATTTACTAAAATAAAGTAATGCAACAAAATATATTTTACTTTTTTGAATATAAAATTTTATATTATTAATTTATTTAATAAAAACTTTCAAATTAACTGTTAGATTAATAATTTCACATCTATAAAATGTTATTGATATAAATATTTATGTTTTACCTACAGTGTTGATGAATCTGACTAATGTACACTACGCCAGAAATTGACTTTTGGAGCACCAACTTAGAAAGCGATTAGTAAAAACCACTTTGTATATAACACAAAGAGAGCGGTTCCGCCCGAACCGCTCTCCAAATTTAAGTTCTTAGAGCAGTTCCTATGGGACCGCTCTCTAATATACACTTATGAGAGCGGTTCATAAGGAACCACTCTCTAATATGTACTAATGAGAGCGGTTCATATGTAACCGTTCTCGTAATTCTGTTTTGGAGAGCGGTTTAAAAATAACCGCTCTGAAAGGTGTACATTAGAGAGCGGTTAATTCTTAACCACTCTCTAATCTTGTATTTTTAACTAAAATCCTAATCCCTAATGTGGTTATCCCTGTCGCCCCGCCAAGTTTCTGTACTTCAAATTTGTCTATGTTCAGTGTTTTGTGAGAAATTTTTGCAGAAGAACAAGCACAGTCGACATCGCAGGGTCAATTTTAAGGTATATTCATAATCGTTTCTTTGTTTTCTGGCAATGTGTGGACATTGCACTCTCTCATTCTCTCTGTTCACTGAAACGCAGTTGTAATATTGTTGTTGAACAGTTACAAAGGTCCGTCCTCCATACTTGCTTCAGCTGAACTGCGACTTAGTGGAACTTTGTTCAATCCAAGTTAGTGTTGTTGTGTTTATTTGAACAAAAAATTAGTTTTTTATTTTGTAAAAGTTTATCATTGCTGCTTGACAGAGCATGAAATTAAGACATATTAGATAGTTATAATGCAAGTTATAATTTGTCGAAGGAAGTGAAAACCAAATAAGAAAAAAAATCAACTGTGCTTTTATCACAGTATATTAAAATTTATAAGAAATTATAATTTTTTTCTATTCCAATATAAATAAAAAGGAGGGAACATGTTGTTATATATGTTGTTCTGGGAATTGAAATAAGTTTATGTATTGAACAAGATATTGTTGTTTGTTTTGCCCCCGTAATGTATATTTCGTCTGTGTATGAATCAAATTGATGTTGTCTTAATGAATGTTATGAATGCATGATTATTGTTAGTGATGAAACTTTGTAGGGTATGATTTGAAATCTAAAATTGAGTGAAACCATAGTTTCTCGTTTGAGATTGAAAATAATGATTTAATATATCATTATTTTCAATCTCAAATTGTCCAAGTTGGACAGTTTGTGAACAAACTTATTTAGTCATTAGTTAACATTTCCTTCTCATAATGTTGTATTTAATACTTGAACAAATTTGAGTTAGAAGCATTTCTCATTGTCTTTTGGTGCATGTTTGATTGAGGTAAATCATCTCAGATTCAAGTTGTGTACTAGGAGACTAATGTGAAATGCTGCCCAAATTTTGTCAAGTTAAAAATACAATATTTAAGTAGCATTTGTTAATTAAGGTTGAAAAAAGTTTGTTCTCAAATGGGATAGGGCCCTACCATTTGAGAGTTAATAAAACATTCACATTTATAACGATCGTAACCATAGTTGGAGCAAATATGGATTGAAGTTGGATGGTAGCTGATCGTTTAAGTGAAGAATACGAAGACAAAGTCAAAGAGTTTATTAGATTTGTGATTAAGCATGCAACTAATGTCAACCTTATTTCGTGTCTTTGTTGGTGTTGTTTGAATATGTTACAAGTAAATGCGGAAGAATTGAAAGAACATCTAATGTGCAATGGGATAGATGAAAAATATAGTTGTTGGACAAAGCACGGTAAGATACAACGTGGAAGTACATCAACTAACATGAAATCAAGGGTCAATTACTCAGAGACATTTAGAACAAATGACAGTGATCATGTTGAACAAATTCCAAATGTTGTTGAAAAAGATCTTAGCGATTGTCCAAAGATGTTTGAGAGGCTGAAAGATTATGCAAAAATACCATTGTATAATGGATGTACAAAGTTCACAAGATTGAGTTCTGTTTTAAAGCTGTATAACTTAAAAGCCTTGAATGGATGGACTGATAAAAGCTTCACAGACTTGCTATACATAAGATGCTACCGGAGGATAATGTGCTACCAAAGAGAATATATGATGCTAAACAAATACTTTCTTCAATTGGATTGACCTATGAAAAGATACATACATGTCCTAATGACTGCATTTTGTTTCAAAATGAGTATGCATCACTAAGGAATTGTCCAAAGTGTAATGTATCATGATACCTAAAGAAAGAATCAACACCTGTGAAGGTCATGTGGTATTTTCCAGTAATACCCAGGTTAAGACGCCTATTTCGCAATTCAGAAAATGCAAAGCAGATGACTTGGCATGCTGAAGGCAGAATTAAAGATGGAAAGCTTAGGCATCCAGCAGATTCTCCACAGTGGAAAAAATTTGATGACAACCATGAAGAGTTTGCAACTGATGCAAGGAATATACGTTTTGCATTAGCAACCGATGGAATGAATCCCCATGGCATGCAAAGTAGCACCCATAGTACATGGCCTGTGATCTTAATAATGTATAACTTACCTCCATGGCTTTGCATGAAGCAAAAATATATGATGTTTTCTTTGTTAATCTCTGGTCCTAAACAACCTGGAAATGACAATGATGTGTACGTGTCTCCTTTAATTGAAGATTTGAAGTTGTTGTGGGATAATGGCATAAAAGTATATGACGGATTTAGAGGAGATTTTCATAGTCAAGGCAATGTTGTGTAGAACAATTAATGACTTTCCTGCATATGGAAATCTTTCTGGTTATAGCATCAAAGGTCAATGTGCATGTCCAATATGTCAGGAAAAAACAAATTACATAAGACTAGAGCATTGTCACAAGAATGTTTTCATGGGCCATCGTAGGTGGTTGTCAAAAAATCATCCATTCAGAAAAATGAAAAAAACATTTAATGGAAGTTGTGAAGAACGACAATGTTCTTATTTGAAGAGTGGGGAAGAAATCTTTGATGAGGTTAAATATATGCAAACAACATTCAGAAAACCTTTTTTCCCAAACAAATTCCAACTGCAGGTTAGAAAAAGATGTCAATTTTCTTTCAGTTACCGTACTGAAAATCTTTATACATAAGACACTTTCTTTATGTTATGCATGTTGAAAAAAATGTTTGTGAAAGTGTGATTGGTGCATTATAGAACATGGTGGGAAAAAATAAAGATGGCATCAATTCAAGACTTGACTTAGTGAAGTTGGGAAGGCGATCTGATTTGGCTCTAATGAAGAAGGGAAAGTGGACCTTTTTACCGCCAACAACATGTACCCTATCTAGAAATGAGAAACGTGCTTTATGTGAGACTCTTTATTTAGTTAAGGTTCCAGAGGGGTATTCATGAAACATTAAAGTCTTGTATCATTTAAGGACCTGAAGTTAAAAGGATTGAAGTCTCATGATTGTCATATCTTAATGGAGAATTTAATTCCTATTGCTATACGGTTTATTC